GGTTAGAAGAGAGGGTTCATCCAAAAGCAGGCGAACAACCACCATGTTGACCATGGGTGCGGACTGACCGGAGTCAGTCGGGTCGATCATGTAGAGGTCAATGACGTGGTCGCACTCGACGTGGTCGACAAAGAGGTGGTGGATGGCATTTTGGTATGCAGATCCCGCACCCTCCAGCCCAAAGGGATAGGGCTTGATGGGTCCTCCATTAGAGCTTCGTAGTCGGCCAAGGGATAGGGCTTCGGTGGGTCCTCCATTAGAGCTTCATAGTCGGCCAAACATAGGCCGATAGCAGGAAGCCGCGCCATGTGCCCTTCTGGAGTAGCCGTGATCACCAGATCGGAATCTAGCTACCTTGAACAATGTGGCCAAGCAGGTTGCTCGGTTGTAGTGGCTTGGTGATCTTGGAGTACGTGAAATTCGTCGCTCGCTCTAGATTGATCTGAGACCAAATCCATGAGGAGCTGACATTCCGCTAAGCAGTCTGTGACCCTATCGATGGATGCGATCATATCATCATTGCAGATGGATCTCCTAACCCAGTGATGGGGCACTGGGATCAGAGATGTCATTGCAGGTGTTGGCGCGATCGGCGCAGGGTGATCCTGCACCACGTCCATGATCTCCCCATTGCTGCCGAGGCTGATGACCTAGGTCATGGATCCGACCATGAAGATATGGCTCGGCTCAAAAAGTCCATGGAGCTCGGAAAGGTGACCATTTGGTACGCCATGAATTCAGCACGCACACCCCCTACCTGGCGTGCCACTGTCAATGAAATACGTTCGGTAGTCTACCGAGGGGTATGCCCACGGTAGTAGATGAATCGGTGGAGGTGCGCGTTAGAGAACCGGATGGTGACACAGAACACAAGAGACAGCAATTAGATAGGTTCAGGCCATTAGCTTGACGTAATACCCTACGTCATGTGTCTTTGTGGATTGTATTATGAGAGATGAGATGAAGACAAGGGGGATCCCTACCCACCTTATATAGCCCGAGGGGTAGGGTTACATATCAGTTGTTTCTATCCTGATCGGTTTAAGATAGGAAGTTACAGATATTACGGATCTAGCATATCCGAATAGGTTTCCTGGATCACAAAAGATCTTCACGCAGTCTTATGAGGCACGCCGACCTGTATCGTGCTTCGCACGGCGTCGTCTTGTAGGCTGGGCCTCCACTGGTGGCGTGGCCCATGCGCTGTCTTGTGGGCTGGACCACCCCTAGCGGCTCGGCCCATGTATATCCCTACTAGTATCGGGGGTTATACCCCCACAATAACGATAAAAAAACCCTAGCCTCCATTGTTGATTATAGTGGAAGCTTTGAGTGGACCGGTTGGTCTCGTGGTTTTTACTCCTCATCTTGAGAAGGTTTTTCACGTAAATCGTTGTGCCTATTGTGTATTTGATTGTTAATTCCACTGTTGATCTGATGTAGGGATGGCAATGGGGCGGATTCGGATCGGGTGGAGTCTCTGTGCACCCGAACCCGAAACCCGAAATCGAAACCCAAAACCGCACCGAACACCGATTCGGATGATAATCCGTCCCCAAAACCGAACCCGCGGATACCCGAAACCCGAATGGATACCCGAAACCCGCTTTGTATGACAACATACTAAGAGAAATAAGGACTTTCTATAAACATATGCATGATATATATACACATATTCACATGTATAAACAAGAGGCAACAAATAATAAATATTTTCTTGAGTCAACTTAGAATAAATTTAATAATATAAGTAAACTAGTTATTATTAGCATATTATAAAACATGAGTTTTAATTCCAAATGATTTATTTCGGATATCCATTAGATATCCACGGGTGGAAAACCAAACCCGAAACCGAACCCGATTGGTTTCGGGGCCCCGAACCCGAAAACCGTGGGTGAGAAATCATCCCCAAACTCGAACCCGCAAGACCTGAAACCCACGGATATCCAACCCGAAACCGCCCCGTTGCCATCCTTGATCTGATGGTAGATGTTTTCCTCATGATTCATCACAGGATGAGAGATCATTGTTTCGCTATTTTATCCTAACACTATTATAGTAACTATCTCAAGCTTTGATCCGGTGGCGTGGAGGGCACCAAAAAACTTTCTCTCAGTTAATGAAAAATGTGCTCGACATTCTCAAAAATAACATCAACAAACGATGGTGGTGGCCTTGCTAGGATGATAACAAAGATAGCTACCATGATGTTAGTGTCAGGGGTATAGGCATGGAGGCAGGATGATGAACATATATATATGGCTATTTAAGATGACAACAATCATGCATTATGAAATATATATAGGACAAAAACATAGATAACAACTAAATAGACGTTTATTTTTTATACAAAATAAAGGTATTTTTTAAAAACTAAATATTACAGAGAAAAAAGAACAAAATTTAATTACCGCTAGGTATCTAACCTTTACCCGTTAGTCTAATTCATAGATCGAAAAAGAATCATGATAATAATAGGAAACAAGGAGATGAGATGAGAAGATAAAATGAAGACCAATCCTAAATAAATAGATCTCATTGAGATAAATGTGGAGGGAGAATAAACAAGCAAAACACTACACCATTTATGAACCAATTTATATAAATTATGCTCCAACATGTATAAAACGTAAAATTAGGTTCTTTAGATACTCTATATGGAATATATTTTGGCAGTGAACTTATTTGTTCTTATATGTTGTTTGTAAAGAAAATGGACCCTAAGCTCATTTACTTTGGATTTTGGTGTTTGATGACCAACACAACTAAATTGGACTAATGGATTTATAAGTGATTATTTTGTAGTTCAATAGGGTGCAAAACGTGACTTGGACGAAGGCGACGTGATGATCCGATGATCAACACGTCAAGAAAGACATGTGAAGATGCATAGAAGACATACAAGGTCAAGCAAAGTCCAAGCACGAAGATTGAACCAGGCCGAACACAAGATCGCAAAGAAACGAGCCCGGTAGAGGTGACCGAACGCAACTCTATGAATGATCGGACGCACCGGTGCCAGGCAACAGCAGGCATCGGCAGCTATGACCGGACGCTGAGCAGCAAGTGACCGGACGCTGAGCGATGCAGTGACCGGACGCACTGGTGACATTGTTCATCATCACGGCAGTGTTTTCAGCGTGACCGAACGCAGCAGACTGGACGACCGGACGCAGGAACTGCAGCGTTCGATCGAGTCGAGAGGGTTTCAGAGCGGCGCCAGCATGACCGGACGTGTCCGATCGATGATGATCGAACTCAGCCCAGAGTCCGATCAACGCGCGCGCTCAACGGTCGGGGCGACCGGACGCGTCCGGTCAAGACGTGATCAGCGTCCGGTCAGTAACAGAAAGTTAGGTTTCGTCCCCAACGACTACTTTCTCAGTGGGGCTTATAAATAGACCCCCCAACCCGCCATTTGAGATGGGTGGAGCTGAGGAAACATACCAACGGTGTTGATACATAATTTTAGTGATCTCCACTTGCATAGTGCTTAGTGATTCATTAGGTGATTAGCGTAGGTGCTTTTGCAAAGTGCTTAGGTTGATTAGACCACCGCTTATGCGCTTGCTCTAAGTTTAGGCCTAGTGTTTAGTGAGGTTTGCATACCTCTTATCACTCGGTGCTTGCGCGCATCATTGTTGTACATCGGAGGGGCTTGTAGTCTTACAAGATTACACACCAACCGCGATTATGGTGTGGCCGCCACCGTGTACCGAAGGGAACAAGACCCACGGCGGTTCGGCCGGAAGCTTGATAGTGAAGATGGCGGGGAGCGGTCCGGGAGAGGCTTGCCGGAAGGCACACCGGAGACCCACTTGCGCGTGGGGAAGGCCCGGGACTATCCACGGAGTTACCCGATCGAGAGCTTAGCTCTTGCGAGGGATTCCTTGTGAGGGGCTCCAACGAGGACTAGGGGTAAGCTTTCGCACCTCTCGATACTTCGGTAAAAATACCGGAGTCGTCGACGGGAGTTTGCATATCTCTACCTTACTCTTTATCTTAAGCATTTACATTGTTTGCATAACTCTTTTGCGGTACAGATAGCAACACTCTAGTAAAACCATAGTTGCACATTTAGATATTTCATCTTTTGCTAAGATTAGAAAAAGAGATCATAGTTTAGAGTTAGAGTTTTAAGTTGCCTAATTCATCCCCCTCTTAGGCGTCACGGTCCCTTTCATTGCTAATAATGTTTTTTTTTTGTCAAAAATTTGGTCATAACTAGAGAAGTTTAAATCAGGATAAACCTAAAGTGGACTATAATTTAAATGAAAGGGGGACTAAAATACAATAGCACTGTCGGCCCAGGGTGATCCACTGATGCAAAACATGGGCTGCGCAGGAAACCATGTGTGCCTACGGTGATTGCAATCTTATCATCAGCCGGCGAGGCAACGTTTTGATCCACTCGGCGGCGTCGGCGGGGCCAGCCGGCCGGGCAGGCATTCCAGCGAGAGCTGACTAGCGAGCGGATCAGGTCGGCCGGCCGGCCCCGAAGAGCGAAGAGATGCCCGTGCCCCGGTCCCGGTCTTTCCACTTGCGGTTGGCAGCGCGAGCACCTACCCTAGGTAGCGCGGGCGCGGTCCCCCCGCGGCACCCCGCCACACGCCCCGAGAACCAATCACGGAGCCCACCTGCCTGGCTGCTCACCCCCCGCCCGCTCTTTTAAGCCCACCACGCCCACTTGCAGCAGCCGCAGCACCACCAGTCCACCACCACGGCACCACCCAGTTGCCGGAGTTTTACGCGTGAACGCACGCGCGCATCTGCCAAAACCCACGTCCCTCCCGGCCACCGCGCGCGCGCGTGCCTCGTCGTCGTCCTAGCTCATCCTCCCTCGCTCAGCTGACGACCTCCCTCTGGCGGACCCTTTTCACGCGGGGGCGCCTGCACTGCTACCCTCCCAGCTAGCAGCCCAAGTTCGTGCACACGGCCGGCCGCCGGGACGACTTATCCCGGAGAGATAGAGAGAGGTAGGGGTTGTTGTCGGCATCATGAGGCGCTTCCTGCCGGTCGGCGGCGGCGGCGGGGAGCCGTCCTCCTCCTCCTCGTCGGGCGGTCACCACCACCAGCAAGGCGGGCTTGCGGGCCAGAGGGCGGCGGCGGGCCTGCGGTACCGAGGAGGCGACATCTCGCTGGGGCACGAGCACGACGACGGACACCGTCGCCATGATAGGCAGACCACCGATGGGTCCATGGACATGCTGGCGCGGCACAGCAGCTCGCCGGTGGGCTTCTTCTCCAACCTCATGGTGGACAACGGTGAGTGAGATAGATACCACAGTTAATTACTACGCCGGCGTTCAATCGCCTTCATCAATTTCCATGTGCTTTTAGCTATTTGGGGGGCATGTTTTTCCGCCACGAATTGGTCCTTCATCATGATTTTAGTTTGTCATGCATCACACGGGAAGGAACGAACAATTTGGCTAGTAATGCCTAATAATGGCGACATTCATCCACCCAACTCTTTCGACAAATGGCCAATTTCCTTCCCCTATGTGGATAATGAAGAAGCAGGCCGAACCGGCGAAGGCGCAGCGTGGGTTTTGTTGCATTCATGATAGGCGCCGGCCGCCGCAAAGGAAATCTACTGGCCATAGTGCACCGGCCACTAGCTAACCAGTTGCTGCAACTTGTTCCGTGTGGTGCACTGCCCAACTTTACCTGCCGTTTTGGTTGATTAAAGCGGAGAGCAGGTACCGAAATTTTGCTAGATGAGGCCAAGCCGGTTTTGCACAAACAGATGCGCGCGCGGCTTTTTGCTAGCTGCTGCTGCACCTTGCCATGGCCCATGGCCCATGGAGGAGAGGGCAGTGGCGGCATCTTTTACAGTTTCATCAACTTGTCATAGTAGTTACTTTAATCTGTCTTGCATGCATTTAAGATGCCTTAGATTTCGGTCACATGTACTCTCTCACATGGTGGTTAATATGGATTAGCTTTTGTTCAGCATGAAATTACAGACCCTTAGCTACTGAACAGTAGAACAAAGTTTGCATCAAATCTCAAATCGCAGTATGCATATAACATGAAAACAACATGTTTTCCCCTCATATGTTACCCTATTATACATATGGCCTTTTCTATATAGACCCCGGCCCTACTAACAACTTGCTAGGGGATGGAGAACTAAAGGGTTATATAACGGTGCGGTGGTTCTCTCTGTTGGCGTCTCCTCGATAGTGAAATGTGGGATCTGAGATTTTAAAAGTCACACTTTTATTCTTTTTACATGTACTTTTGTATTCACATGTCTACAGTCGCCTCATTGTCTAATCCTAGTAGCTCATTTTTTAATTAAAGTTCTGTTTGCCACTTGCACACTATGCCGATGTGTTTTGCGTCCTTGCCTTCCATTTATATATCCATTCATTAATTTAGATCAGTTGTTGCAAAGTCATTATGCATGTACAATATGTCCTTTGGTAGAGAATACTATAAACATATAATCTTGAATACATACTGGCCAGCTAATTAAGAAGAGTGTGAGTTGGTCAAGAGAGGTTAACTCTAATTTCTTTCGTCCATTGGCTTATTTCTGCACTGGATGATAAGAAAATCATTCATTTGCTGTTTTTCAGAGTCAAACATATAAATACCTTCTTGCAGGTTCTGCCAACCTACCACGTACAATTGTCCTTATTATACTAATGCCTATATGCTAATATTCATTTCACCTTAGTTGCTACTGAGCAATCTATACAAATATAGTATGATGGGAAATGCTAAACTGTACATCATCCTAGCTTAACTAGAGTACTATATGTGGAAATAAAAAAAAAATAAATATGTGATAGTGGAGGAGCACGACTTGATGTTGACATGGCCCCCTTTTGGCAGATTAGAAACGATCCATGATTCATTTGACGCCGGCCAAACAACTGCAATTTATACCCTCAACATATATATATAGTTGGATTGGCTTATGCAACTTCAATTTTTTTCATATCACTTAAACTATCCTAAAAATCCTAGGAACCCTTATATTACTATTTGGGACATGGAGAATAATTTTCAAGAGAAGAGAAACAAAACTTACATTTAAACTCTACGATGCAAATAGTAAAGATGTTTGAGGCGAAAACCGTCACACCATATATATGTGTGAATAGAATTTGTGTCCTCTAAATTGAAAAGCAGAATTTGCTGTCTATAACGAGAAATGGCCGATGATGGTAGACATTGCTTCAGCTATCTCTTAGGGAAAGTAAGAGACTCATCCAGTATAGTATATATATAGATTGGCTGCATATATTTTAGGTGCCTGTAGCCATGTACACAACCTACATTAGTTGTCTACTAGAAAGAGATACTCCTAAACAAGAAACGACTTGTATTCTGTCTTTGTAGCAGTAAGATTTTGCTTTTGCGGATATGACTACGCTATTGGTGCGAGAGTGAGACAGCCAAGGTGGATTGGATGGCATCACCTACGGTACATGCCCCACCGATACTTCTTTCAAACCGGTCAATGCTATTGCTACCCGAATGCGTCCCACATGGCAGGGTTGGCTACTGCTATCTCTTTTTTTTCGTGAGCGTGTCTTTGCGACACGTATTTCATTAAGCAGAAGCAGAGTTTAATCGGTTACAATTATAACATCCCCAAGTAATCCATAAATTACCATGAAAGGATGGAAGCCAACATGACCCAAATAAACCTAACTTACTTCTATCTCTCTGAGGGCGAGTTGAACAAACACTCTAGATTCTGGTCTAGCTAGATTGGCTGGCAGTTGTGAATTATATGAGGCTTACACTAATTAATGGGGGTGTTATTAATTAGTGGCTCAAACCCTAACCAAGGCGGCCACTTGTCTTAATCAAAAGTAGGACCACAAAGGAACGCCCACTTGGCTGCGGTGGGCCCGGCGCTGTCTGCAGTCCAGGTTCAGCTGACGGCTCCACCGTGACGTCACCGCCGTTTTGCCAAAAATAGTAGCCTATATGCAAGTTGCAAAGTGGATTGGCGCTTTGTGCGCTCCGGCCTCCTAACGTCCACGCTGTATATCTGGCCGACGTCTTCGATTATTCTGGCCTCAGCTCCGTGTTTAGTTTGAACTTTGAAGAGCTAGCTCCGTGTTGCATATATAAAAATATCCATCATATTACTATTTTCAGAAGGCCACAAATTTGTAAATTAGCTAGTTGCCCACTGGTTCAGATCATGCATTAACCATCTTGGCAAGTTGACTGTTTTTTAATCTCTCGAAAAAGTTGACAGTTTTTTAAACAATGCGCGGCTGGTTGGAATAAACTATACGCAGGGACAGCGTATCCACGCTCGAATAAAGCCGGAGGCAGTGGTGGCGGCGAAGGTCAGCGTGATCCTTCAACGGCCAAGAATAGTAGTGGCAGCAGCGGCGGCCGGAAGATGAAGCCGTCGTCCGAGTTCAACTTCACCGGCGGGGCGCAGCAGGGCCAGCAGGGCGCCGCCGCGGGCCTGCACCTCTCTCGGATCTCCGAGGACGACGCGGCGCCTTCCCGGGCGGCCTGATGGGCGACCGGGCGGCGGGTGGCCGCGGCTCTGGCGAGAGCAGCAGCGGTGGTGCCACGGCGGCGCGCTCGTACTCCGGCGGGTTCTCCATTGTTGGGCCGTGGGAAGAGTCCAGGGACATCATTACCACCCTCGGCGCATACGACCCTCAGGTATGGAAGACTACACATTTACGCATACCACAGCTATATATATGTATGTTGCAATGCACGTTCTAGCTAGTAAAGCTTCTTTGATTTTCTTTGCCACCAGTGAGTGTTGTTGTCGTCCCGTTCTTTGTGTTTGACGGATCTGCGTGAATAATATGCAGTTTAGCGGCGCCATGGCGGGTACGGCGCTGGAGATGGCGGGCATTGACAGGTACATGCAGCTGCAGCAGGACCAGGTGCCATTCAAAGTGCGCGCCAAGCGCGGGTGCGCCACGCACCCCAGGAGCATCGCCGAGAGGGTGCGTTCGTAATTTCGTATATATGCGCAAACACGGACTTATATGAATCCCAAGATTCCTCTATCAGTTTTTTCGCAGCAGGAGCGATTATATTCACCGTGATTTACATATGGTGCAGGAGAGGAGGACGAGGATCAGCGAGAAGCTCAGGAAGCTCCAGGACCTCGTTCCCAACATGGACAAGGTAACTACGAGTTGTTGTTGATCTATGAACTGTGACGCCACAACTTACATACATTTTCTTACATACATTTTACCACTCAGATAGATAGAATGATGACCATTGTGCAAAGCAGTTCTCGATCCCTTAGGTATAGTTTGTGTATATATATACCTGCACGAGGCAGCAATAGCCAATATGTATATAATAACTAGATTACTGAACACTACGGCGAAAGAATATTTAACTGATCAGTGATCTTGCTTATATATATGTGTTGATGCCACAGCAAACGAGCACCGCGGACATGTTGGACCTTGCAGTTGAGCACATCAAGGGCCTGCAGAGCGAACTGCAGGTAATTTACATTCCTGTGCATGTATACAAATATGTTACTGTATGCTTTTTCTATAGAGAATGCAATGATCTGAAGACGAATGCGTTTCAGTTTCGACTGATCACAGGCGGGTATTCTTGACAGCACACAAATTAAAGGCCATTTAATTTGATATCTTTCTTGATCGATCGTCAGGAATTACGTACATACTGACCATAGCTCCTATCCGCAGGCTCTGAAACACGAGCAGGAGAAGTGCACCTGCTGCCGAAAGCGATAGCGATTCACTACAGGGGGGCAAGAACAGAAACGCGTCCATCTTTAACGGTTGATACCTTCAGTTCCCTTGATGTGAGGAATTGCACATGGATGAAGCCATCTACTTGTTCTAAAGATAACGTCTTGATTGTTGAGAGTCCTAATTTTAGTTATTAGCACACAATGGGAGTGCATTCGGCGCGGCCCATGGATGGAGCGTGCATAGTGTTCTACCATTTCCAAAGCAGTAATGATCCACATATAGCCGTGGTCAACTAGCTATAAGCAGTGCGAAAATAGGCAACCCTTCTGTTCTGATACTTTGGTTTCTTTGTTCTGGTTGATGTTCGACTTGAACTTTAGATTTCCTTTTAGGATATATCCGTAAACAATTTTGCTATTATTGTTTATACATGTCGCCTGATTTTACTTTGTGTTCTTAAGAAGAGGACATGGCTTTTATGCAGAAAATGATGTAATTCTAGTTCCGTCTCTATAGTTAAACTATCTAATGTTTGACCAAGTTTATATAAAAAAATATCAACATTTATGACACAAAATAGATATAGTATGTCGGTATTTTGTGAACCGACCGGTAAATTTAGCGCTGCGCTGCTCAAGGGAAATCGATGGTTGCACTTGAGACACAAGAAATTATACTAGTTCGGGACACGAAGCCCTATGTCCAGTCTCAGAGATATTCGAGTTTGTGTTCCTCGGCTCAAGTGCTCCAAAGGCTTACAATGGGGGTTCGTAAGCTAAGGTTCTACGGTGAGGAGGTTCGAGGTAGGAGAATTCGATCGTTCCGAATGAAGGCCGGCTCCCCTTATATAGTCTTGGGGGCCAGGTGACAATCGAGAGAGAGGGTTTTTCCCCGACCTGAGTGGTCGAGAGCTTGAAGGAGGGGGAAGTTGGCGAGCTTGGTCGGTGGACCCTCCACATCTTGTCCTTGCTTCTGTAGACATGTCCGAGTATGGTCGCGGGCTTCTTGCTTCTCACGTCAAGGCATGGTGCACCATGGTGGCACAGTGCGGATCGTGGTTGTTCACCTACTGCCCTGTGCAGCGTGTGAGCACAACGTGAGTCATGGCCTTCGTCCTGGCATCCGTTATCGGGGCACCTACCTACTTGGTCGAGGTAGCGTTGCCACCGACCATGCGTGGTCGGGTCGAGGAGCTTTGGCCCTGGCGGGTTAGGTGAGATTTGACTTTGGGTTGTGTGACCAATGCCTGCAGCGGATAAGTTCATACGCCTGCCCGTCGAGTCGGGCACGGGTCAGATGGTGCTGAGCCAAGCGCTGACACTGCTCCGTTAGGGAGTAGTCTTGTCCATGACCGGGGAGCGGTCCGAGCGGTGATGCTCTGCCCCAGGACCCCGTGGTCCGAAGGGTGATCGTCCATTTCTATCCTGGAGGAGTGTGCGCCGCTCATGCGAGTCCCGTTGGGACAGGTGCATTTAATGCGCCAACCACCTCCAGTCCTTCCCGTGTGGTTGGGGCCAGAGGTGGTCGAGGCGGCTGCGCGGTGCATGGCCAAGTGAGCAAGATGGTCGTGACGGACCATTTATCATATGGCTCGTGGGAGGAGAGGCCGAGGCGGGCCGCGGGAGCTCGGCCGTAGCCGGTTGGGCCGCCCCGATTGTTTTGTTAGCCATGCCTTGGAGCACCCCGGTTATGTGCCCCTGACATAGTATAAATATATATATTATGTATGTATAGTGAAGTTTAGAATGGTTTGACTCAGCACTATACTCGCACTCTTTTCATAACAGAAGGAATATTTGTACATCGACCAGCGTGTTGCTTGACTAGATTATCATTTTAGCCAGATCTCATGGCGCGTCGCTCTCTCCCACGACACTGCCTCAGTCCCCCTCCTCTCTCCTAACTGGTGATATCATCGATGGATGGACGAGCGGGGACCTGACCATCCCTTCCCCTAGGTTTAATTTGTCAATCCTTGTTGATCTAAGATTTGGTTTCTAGTGTCATGGATGAGGTGGTGGCGACGATGGTATTATAGAATAAGATCTCTTCGGCCTCTCCCTATACCTCAACGACGTTTGATCTGGCGTCGTCGAAGGGCCAGTGAAAGTTTGGTCTGTTAGATCTGTTGATCGTCTTCAGATCTTGACATTTTGTGTGCTTATCATAAAAGACAGTTGGTTGGCTTTCGATAAGACGATATCGACCTCTTCTTTGGTATGTTCTACAACAAGGTTCGGCATCTCCAACACTTTGTTCTGATAGTGAAGGAGTAAGTTTGTGTTCTTTGGAGAGTTCCTCTAGCCCATGTTCTTCCTGTGGATATTAAATCTCGTTATCAGCGACGATTGTCTTTTGCGGTCTTGAAAACCTTGTTTGATGAGGGTGTACGCATGTGTCGCTTTTCTTTGTTGTCTTTTCAGTCCAGTGGGCAGTGGACGATGAGAGGAAGAAGACAGCTGATTTGGTCTTTGACCTACTCTTATTTTTAGAGATCATTTTGTATCTTGTTGTTTATCTTTTATACTATCCTTTGGTTTCCTTGAGATATATTAGATCCGAAGCACTCTTTTGAGTGTCTATAAAAAAAGTTACAATATCTTTTTATAAGATAGCGCAAGTTTTGCCATGAGATTTACAGAACTAGAAAAAAACAAATGATGGTTTAAGGAGACCGAAGTACAAAACCCAAACAACACGGACAGCAGTCGAAAAATGTTACACACCCTAGCACCCACACCACCATGACTACCACTACTCAGAAAAACAACTAGCGCCAAAACACTACTACACTTCCTACAACAATTAACACTACTACAAAAAAAACTTAATCGAGGCATTTTGCAAAGGGGCTCGGAGGTAGGGGGATTCGAACCGCCTCGGTTAATGCCTGGGATTAACCGAGGTAGGCATTTTTATTCACCGAGGCGGTCACAATCAACCCCTCGCAAAATCGATTTACGGAGGCGGTTAAAAAATAACCACCTTCAAAAATCTATTAACCGAGGCGGGCCTTATAAGTGGCCCACCTCCAAAAATATCCCCATTTTCGGAGTCGGGCCTCTTATAAGGCCCATTTTAGTTAATATCGTTGAGCCAACTAGGAAGCCCACTCGGCCCAAAACTCGGTCACAGTATATAATTAGTCAAAACCCTAGCCCTCTTAGTCTTCTCTCCATCACTCTTCTCCTCAGCGCCACGCACTCCTCCCGCCGCGCGCCCCTCATTGGCTTCACTCTCTCTCTCTCTCCCTCACTGGCCTCACTCTCTCTCTCTCTTCTCTCCCTCACCTCTCTTCTCACATGGAGCAGCGATGGCTCAGAGGCGGGGCCACCCGTCGTGGGAGGGGTGGCAGATCCGGCCATGGGCTCGGCCTCCTCTGAGCCCTCTCTCCCTCGCTTGGATCCGGTCACGGGCGCGGCCTATCTCACGACGGTGGCGGGCGGAGCAGCAACAGCAGTGGGCCGGGCGACGGTGGCTCTTGGCGGCACGGATCCACGTCGTCCGAGCTCATCGGCGGCGGATCCATGCCGTCCGACGCGCCCCGGTGATGGATCCAGGCCAACCGAGCTCCTCGGCGGCGGATCTAGGCTGACCGAGCTCCCCGACGGCTGTAACACCCCTGGTGTTATGAGCTTGCTTAGTGCCAAGATTAAGACCTAAGAAAGATTAGCAAAACAAGTTCGCTGGGTTTAAGAGTTTAAAACTTACCTGAAATGATAAACAAATTCTATGTGACTCACTTTTGTGATTGAGAAAATCAAAATAAATATTGTTAACTAGTGCTCTTGGGAGCCCAAAAATCAAATTTGAAGTTAAGATAAGCTCTTTTCGTTAAGACGGCAAACACTTGAACTTACGTTTAAAGTACTATTTTTGGCGATTTATTGTGGGCGAAATAATTAATTAATGCTTAAATATTTTGTTTCTATGGCTTAGTATGAAGTATGGACCATTGCATGAAATACTTGTGGGTTGGAGTTAGTAGGGTTTAGACCTTTTAAAAATTGTAACAAAAGTGTTAATGACTGTTAGTTCGAACTGAACCTTAACTTTTCTAAGTATGGAAAAAGTAGTAAGACAATGCTATCTTGACATTTAATTTCTAACAAAAATGTTTAAACACTAGCTGTATGTTTTGGTATTGTTGATTGCATCAAAGTGAGTACTTGAGTATGGCATAGGTGGTTGCTGTGTTGGGTGTCACGTTGCTCTCGTAAAAATTGCCCAAACTTCATTAAAACACGCTGTGAACTATGTCGTTGACGTTCTGTTCATGAACTGGCACTTCGGGGACGAGCTTAGGTTGGCATTCATTTGTCTCCCTCCCTAACTGCCCTTTGATCTTGATGATTGCTCCGTTAGATAATCGGTAGTGTGGACTTTAGAGTAGTGAAATTGGTTTGAGTTACAGATGTGAGGATCAACAACTCTTGAGTCGCTTTAAAATGCGTACGCGACACCGGTGGCGGTCGATCAGCCTGAGTCCGCAGTCACCACGCGCACACGTTGTCGATGCCTGGCCGCTCCTGGCCACGATCGTGCTTGTGGCTAGCCTTGCCGGCGCTGCAGCGCTGTCTGGCTAGATGTTGGCCGCGGTCGCCTTCGTGGCGCGAAGGGTCGATGGCTTAGAGGGGGTGAATAGTCTTTTCTAAAATTAATCGCGTGGCTGCTTACCGATATAAATGCGGAATTAAAACAATCGGTCTAGCCAAGACTACACCCCTCTATATATGTTCACTAGCACCTTGCAAAGATACTAATAAAGCAACTAAGGTGCGGGCTAGCTAGAGCTCTCCTAAACAATTCTAGGAGCAAGGTCACACAAACCTATGCCACTAGTACTTT